CGGTACCTCTGTGGTACCGAGCAGAATAGGAAACAGTGAAAAAACGGTAAATGTAAATAAATGATACATTTAAATAAATAAAGATTTCTTTAAAAAAAAAAAAAAAAATTGCGTGGAGCTAGCAGTGACAGCTAGCTCCGCCCAACTGTTTCCTATTGGCTGGGACCTGCTAGACTCTTCTAGCAGGTCCTGGCCAATGAATGACAACTGGGCAAAGCCGGCCATGACGCCACAGCCAGCTCCGCCCAGTTGTCATTGTTTAATGGTAACCTGGGGATGCTGATCAGTCATTGCAACTGGACGGAGCCGGCCGTGAGATCACAGCTGGCTGCGCCCAGCTGTCAGTTGCGAGGCTTTCGAATGGCCAATGGCTGGCCTTTCGGCCAGCTTCGGGTGTCACTACGGCTCAGTCGAGCTGAAGCATATGCCTTCGACTCGACTGAGCATCTTAGCCAGCTTCGGGAGCTTTACGGCTACAGCTATAGTAAATAGCCCGTACAGCAGTCCTTCGGTTCTACTCCGGCAGCCAAAGCTAGCTGAAGGATCAGCTATTGTAAAAAAATAACCCTCTAAAATCTTTTCTAAGAATATTAGCTTTTGGCATTATTCATACCAAACGAACGTTCGTGATATCAGCCTGGGTGAAGGGCCCTGGGAATCATTTAGTCATATGCTCCTTGGAGTTCTGCTGTAGATCACAAAGTACTATTAATATAAAAAAAGGTAACTTGGACTCCCAGGTACCTACATCTCCCTGGTTGCATACCAAAAGCCTATAACCCCCATTGGGACTTTAATGAAACATATTATATTTTCACAACCACATTAATCTTAGTTAATTTTTATTATTTCTTCAATTATAAAATGTGAGAAAAATCACATATGTGTTCAAATGTAATATACAAAACAAAAGCACAGTTTAAATCAGACAGAATAATGTAGTGACCATGTCAGAGACCTCCCAGATCAATCTGAACCTTAATATGCATCAAATTACGTTTAGTATTGGAAGCTGCATGAGTCTATAGAGCACATTCATAATGTTCTCTACGCGTTTTGCAGGAATTGAACCCGATTCCTCAGGAGCTTAGAGGTCCAACAAAGTTGTCCTGTAACCTTTACCAAGAGTCAATACATAGGTTACAATCATAGAATTACATTTGTGTTACATAGAAAGATTTTTAAGAAGTCTAAACATGCAATAAGGAACTAATATAAATGCATCTACTGTGACCACAAAGCCACAAAGAATATTTTGTGCCGTAGAAGCAAGTCAAAGCAGGAAAGGAGAAGCCTCGCCAAGGACCTTGCAATGCTTTAAATTACATTATTCTTCTTATAGGTTTTGGAGATTCCATTGAGAGAGTTTCCTGTAGAAGTTTGCTGTTTCATCCTCTATCACAAGGCCATAACTAAGGCGTTACACTGTTGTAGCTGATATCTCCAATTGATAATGTGGAACGTCACCCTCCTATCCTTTACAGCCAAGGAAGGTGCCATCTTAGCCTCTATTTGGATTGCAGTTGCCATAGTGCTGCCATAGAATAATTAACAATACAACATTATTGCTACATATTAACTGTTCACCGATGTGCTTCAATTAGAATAACTGGAGGTTAACCATTGTTTTATTCTTAATGTCTTCTCTTCATCCTGAACAAGGAAAAAGAGCAGAATATAATTAGTGTGGTTTTTGAGAGCACAGAAAAAGGACAAAGCTTCCACAGCCTTAAAGTAAACACGTTGGGTCCTAAAAATGGAGCAAGCCAGCAAGAGTACTATGGTGCCAGTAAGTACCTGTGAGAATCTTCAGATCTATTCTCATGGAGCCCCTGGATTCCATCTCGGGTTGTCCACAGGCCTAGACTGCTGCCCAAATCGCAAGTAAGCCCCTCCCTGGGTTAAACCCTACTCCTATCACTCAACACTCCAGTTAAAACCTCAGTGGCCAGTAGACACTCTGTCATTGAACTATCTGATATGCCATCTTACCAAAGACTTGCTTCTGACCAGACTTGCTTCATACCAGACCTGCTTCTGACACCCATTATTCCCCCAACTTTAGACTGTACATTGATAAAAATCTACCCCACCCACAAGAGAATGGACCTCACAGAGCAAGCAAATGTTCTGTGCCAATCCGGTTCTACTCCTCAGCCTCTGTGCAGTTGGTCTTTCATTTGCATAGGAGTATACCGAACAGTTTCTGAGTGGGCATTGCAAAGGTCAGTAAGAGACCAGCAGTGGGTACACAGTACACATAACACCAAGTGGAGAAGTGCCTGCACAAGAGCCATAAGTTATTATCTGACCTGGTTGATCAAGAGCAGGTTAGGATTAGGAAGCCCAAGGAGCAATTGCCTTTACAGTACCCTTAAATGGCCCAATAATAACTAACAATGCTCCTGATTTCAAACATTACTTGTGATAATTGGGCTGTTTTTGACCTGTTAAGTGTTGACAGTAAGCATCTCCATTGGACATATGTGTGGTCTCACCAGTGCTGTGTGCGGTCTCACCAGTGCTGTGTGCGGTCTCACAAGTCCTGTCTGCGGCCTCACAAGTGCTGTGTGCGCTCTCCCCATGGCTGTTTGGGGTCTTAGGAGGCTGTGTGCAGTCTAACCAGGGCTGTGTGGGGTCTTAGGAGGCCGTGTGCAGTCTCACCAGGGCTGTGTGGGGTCTTAGGAGGCTGTGTGCAGTCTCAACAGGGCTGTGTGGGGTCTTAGGAGGCTGTGTGCAGTCTCAACAGGGCTGTGTGCGGTCTAGCCAGGGCTGTAAGTGGCTTGGCTTTAGAGAGGAATGAAGGAGCACAGTGCAGCCAGTGCTCCATATTACTCAATGAGTTTTGGAGCTCTGCTACCCCACTTAAAATATGCAGATATCTCTAGGCCATGGTCCATGTCTCTCATGTGCTCTTCTCCTGATTGGCCTACCTAATTTTATGCCTAGTCGTAGATCTGGCCCTGTATAAAATGGTACTATATGTCCTTAGGTCATATTTCAGAGGAAAGTAATACTGCAATATGGTGTAGTAGCCCATAGAAACCAAATCAAATGTTTTTACAGTAAAAGTGGGAAGAGTAATACTTGCTGACATTTGATTGGTTGGAATAGTTTTTTCTATTTTGTTATTAACAAAGCCAATTAGTCTTGTATGAGAATATTCACTTACTGTCTCACACGCTTTACTCCAGTATTCAGCATCAGGCTCGTCTTCCCTCATCGGATACTCTTCTGGAATCACAAAGAGACAAGACTGTAACTATAATCATAGCACACCAACAGAGCCGCCCCGCAACATGGAGGGCCCAGAGCTGTCTGGCTATACAGTGATTTATCCAGGTAGCAATAGTATTTGCCAAATTAGTTTGGATAATATTAATGTATATATGGTTTGGTAACCTCATACAACTGCAATTACAAAAGTTAGGATATTGTACCACTGGAAGAACTTCCTTTAAGATGTAGAGTAGAGAAGTTGAGGGAGCCCTTATGGTTTTGCTCCAGGACACCATCATACATAGTTATGGCCATGCATAGAAATTAGACTTGTGCGCCGTCAAAAAATGTGTTCCGTTTCGGAATATCCGTTATTTCGTATTTCCTAATTCGTGTCCGAAACTCAATTCGGATTCGTACGAAATACGAATTTTTGTTAGTTTTGGCACATTTTCGTAACTGTACGAACATTCGTTATGATGAAGTTAAAAAGCAAAAATACCTTTGTTAATATTGGAGTCGATGTGGTAGTTGTTTTTTTATCCAAAATACGAATTCCGTTAACGGATTCCGGATCCGAATTTCGTATTTTGGATAAAAAAAACTACCATCAATGTTCGTAACGGAACGAAATTCCGTCAACGGAATTTCGTATTTCCTGCCTGTATTTGTAATGCAACTCTCAGCAGCAGAAGACAAAACCTCTGATTGGTCAACCAAACGAAATACGAATTCCGTTAACGGATTCCGGATCCGAATTTCGTATTTCGTATTAAAAAAAAACTACCATCAACTCCAATATAAATGTACTTTTGCTTTTTAACTTCAATATATAACGAATGTTCGTAACGGAATGAAATTCTGTCAACGGAATTTCGTATTTCCTGCCTGTGTATTGTAATGCAACCCTCAGCAGCAGTGGATCCGTATTTCGTATTTCGGATTAAAAAAAAAATCTTGTCCTGTTCAACCTCATTTACAGGGGTAATATCAGTTCCTGTTTCAAAGAAATTCGGATCCGAAATTCGTTAACGGAATTTCATATTTCGGATATAATTCGGAAAATGCAATTCGGATTTCGGATGCTTCCAAATTTCAGGAAAATTCGTACAAATTTCGATTCGTAACGAAACGAATCGCACAGGTCTAATAGAAATCACCTGGCTTCCATTTCATATCTTGATGCAACAACATTGCTACGGCCATAGAACACACAGAACCTGGACAATTTCAGCAATCAAGCTGTAAATGGGATAAACATTGATTGAACCATGTAGTAGTAGTTAGTGACATTCAGCTGGACTTGTTCTGTGATGTTGCAGATGTTTATCTAAGCAGCTTTTGCAGTTTTAATGAGTGTCAGGAAGACATAATTTAAAGCCACACGGGTAACTCAGTCACCTTAATCCAATCACCACACCACGTGTCATGGTAGATAGAAGAAGCATAATAGAAGGTGTAACAATTTTGTAAACTACCCTGTTCTATTTATGTAATCCCATCCCACCCATGGTGCCAGGAAGTCTGGGTAAGGTGTGAACCTTTCGAGATACATGGCTAGAGGTGTGACATTTTGTCAAAACACCAGGATGTATATATTAAAATGGCATTATATGTATTCAACCATTTGAGTCCAAGCCACCATTTTAAAATGGCACTGGCATAGCAGCTATTGATCCCAGCACCATTTTAAAACGGTAGCCAATTACAACAGCTCCTGCAGGCTGGCTGGTATCGCCTGCTGTCTATGAAAGCTGGGGTCCAGTACTAAGCCCATGAACTTAAACGATCAGCTCCTGGGTTTCTGATGCTCTTACAGCTTGCTGCATAAATGTTAGTTCACTGGCTGTTATGCTCATTCTATGGCTTCCATACTTTCTTTGCGGACCTGGAACACAAAATGCAGATCAGAAATTCTTATCTGCATACATATGCTGGATTTGTGATTCAAAGTTTTGAAGCAAAAAGGTCAGCATGACCGCCAGGCAGGTAGAACTGCAGAATGAGTCAGAAGAGTGGGCTCCATGTTGTTCTCAGGAAAGGTTTCCTTCAAGAATTTCATGTGTATAGAGAACTATAAGAGGGAATTGTAAAGTCTGTAGAAGGAGTCTGTCATTTGTTGCCCATTTCTACTCACCAGTCTTGTGACTTGGAAACGTATGTTGGCTGCAGGCAGGCTCAATGCGGGATACAATCTCTGCCAGGTCCATGAAGCCAGGAGACCCTCCAGTCTGTATACAGAGAGCAAATTGATAGCATAACACTTGTAAAATCAAACTAACATTGATACTGGCAAGCATGGATGTTCCTATACTGGCAAGCATGGATGTTCCTATACTTGCCCGAGATATCCTCCTGTATCTGCAGCAACATGTCTGCAAAGGTGGAGTTTTAGGAAAAGTGGGCATGGCTTAACAGAGTCTGTAGGAGATCACTGCAATGAAAGGATGGTCCCACCCGTACCTGAGTACCGCCTGAGTGCTGCTCATTGCGAACTATGGGAGAAGAACACTCTGGGTATCGCTTAGGCTGTATGGATGCAGGTTTGCCTCCCTTATCTCTAGACAGCAATGTACACTTGCCATTTCTCTCTCTTTGTGAATTGCTGCATGTCTGTAGAATGCTTTACATTTAAAAATAAACCTACAAATTAAGATGACAACCCGCAGAACTTTCTGATTGTATGACATCTTTTTTTATCTCATTTATCTTTACCAACAGCTATGAAGTGCGAGGACCTAACTAACCATCCATTTTATTTATATTCAGCCATGAAGAGCTTCATACAACTTGTACATTATCTACTGTGTATGCTGTGCTGCAGGGACGTGCGGTCAGGGGAGGCAGGTGAGGAAGAGCCTCACCTAGTATTATGGAGGAAAAAGCTGTCAGCTTCAAGTCTGAAGCTGACAGCTTTTTCTCCATTCAGATCAGCTTGTTACAGGTTACATAGTAGGGAAATCCTCCCCGCTGTGTCACCTGTCATGGACGGAGCGCTGCCTGCTAATTACATGCAGCGCTGCATCCAGCTTTTGACAGGTAGTTAGGTTACACAGCAGAAGGTTTCCCCGCTGCTTGTGTAACCTAACTTAGTGAGGCCAGAGCTATCACAGCCTCTACTCTGTGTTAGAGGCGTGAGCTCTGTGGATGGCTTGGACCAATGGCAAAGCGCCATTGGTCCAAGCTGTCCAATCAAAAAAAAACAGCTGTCCAATCAAAAAACAGTGAGGACATCAATCTCGCTGCCTCACCAGTGGACAGGGAGGCTCCCCGTCTCCTCCCCACACAGCTTGGTTAGCGAGCTGGGAGTGGGGCTTTTGGGGGATTGAGCGGAGCTTCGGTGGGATGGGCGGAGCTTCGGTGGGACAGGGGCGAAGCTTTGGCGGGCTGGGGGATGCCTCACCCAGCACAGAAGGCACGGCATGTCATTTCTGTGCTGTACACTATATACTGTAGAAAACTTCACTTTGTACATTGCATTGTACGTTATATACACCAGATCACCTATACTGACTCACAAGCAAATTGGCCAGCCTCACCAATAGTATAAGCCATTTGGGTACAGCGATTTTATTCCACTTCTTTCCTATTTTTTGGACTTCTTCACTCTATGTTCTGTGCTGTAAGTTACATACGTCACATGACACAGCATCTCATTATTGTTATATTGAAACAAAATTTAGGATTATTTTAAAATTAGAATTCCTTCCCATAACATGAAGAAGCACAGTCTTGCTAGTTTATATTGAAAAGTGAATTTACGGAAATTAAGTTGCTTTAGCAACTTGAGCCAGCTCACAGACGCTCTGACACAATAACCAGAGTTCCCAGTCCGGGCAACATGAGCTTTTCCACAAAGCCCCAAATAATTTTCATTCATCCTGCATATGTTAGAAAAAATGGAGAATCTGATTGGTTACTGTGTGCGGTTTATCTTTAAAATGCTCAGTGTGACCTAGTAGATGTTGCGTAGTGTTGCTTATGATGCCATACTTACTCCTCCCTGGTGCGGCTGGTCAATTTCAGGGTTACTTTTATCCTGCAGCATCTTCTCAATGACGTCACCGCGATGCCATTCTGTAAATATGAGCTTCCCATACTCATAACCCACATCCTGCACCAAAATCATTGGAGACATTGTAAAAAACAGACCCATACCCTGTACAAGTGACACAACAACTGTATACTGGATTTTTTTTAAATGACTATGACCTCAGACCCTCAACGGAGAAGGATTGGCACCTATGTGCCAGGTATTTATTGCTATGCTCCCACTGAGGATATTCCCTTTCTCCTTCCTGTCCCCTTTATGGATGGAAATCTCTCCAATAGGTACAAAGGGTTGCAACATCTGTATTGTTATTACTGGTGTGTCCCCAATGGTGTGGAGTTATGTATATCCCTGACTGTAAAATCTCCTGGCTGTAAAATCCCAAGCGAATCAGTGGTGGGTTCTCCAGAGATGAGCAGATGGCCGTAACATCTCCAAAATACGCCCCTTCCTCACCAATGAAACCACAAAGCTTCTCATCCACTCCCTTGTCATCTCTCGTCTTGACTACTGCAACTTCCTCCTCATTGGCCGACCTCTACACAGCTTATCCCCCTTTCAGTCTATCATGAATGTAGCTGCTAGACTCATCCACCTAACCAACCACTCAGTGTCTACAACCCCCCTCTGTCAATCCCTACACTGGCTTCCAATCGCCCAAAGGATAAAATTCTAAATATTAACAGTCACTTACAAAGCCATCCACAACTCTGCCACCGACTACATCTCAAACCTTGTCTCAAAGTATCACCCTAACCGTCCCCTCCGCTCTTCAAAAGACCTCCTGCTTTCCAGCTCCCTCGTCAACTCCTCCCGTGCTCGCCTCCAACACTTCTCTAGAGTCTCTCCCATACTCTGGAACTCTTTACCCCAACCTGTCTGACAGTCTCCCAGTCTGACTGCCTTTAGGTGATCCTTAAAGACTCATCTCTTCAGGGAAGCCTATCCCACCTCAACTCAACCGCTCAACCATCACGTTCTCAAACAATTCATCCCCACACAGCTACCTCCTCATGTATCACTTCCCCCTCCCTTTTAGATTGTAAGCCCTCAGGGGCAGGGCCCTCCTTACCATCTTGTCTTGAATTGTATTGTGATTGTAATGTCTTCCTTATATTGTAAAGCGCTGCGCAAACTGTTGGCGCTCTATAAATCCTGTATAATAATAACAAAAGAATTGCAGACACTCCAACTGTGAGGCATCACCATTTGAACGCCGATGATTCTTCTTTTCATTGCCCAATGGTAAGGATTCCCCTCACTTCTTGTCTGGGTGAAAGTGGTCACAGAGAAGCTCTGTCCAATGGGGCTTCATAAATAAATAAAAAGGATGCACCTAACAATATAACCTGACACAAGTTCCTTATCCATAATATCCAGTTGTAAGAACTTAGGCAGGAGGAATGCTTTCTGTGAAACCCGTCATGAGAATAATACGAGACCTGCCATGGCCCATTGATGACTTTCTTAAAATGCTGTTTGCCTGGATTCTATACTGACCCTCTGTCTATAGTAAGTTCTCAATGACACGAAACAAGTACGCAGATCAGGAAAATTAAGGAAAGAAAGCCAGAGAATAGGCATTTACAGAAGGAGATGACAGCAGTGGTAGCCTCCATGTTCCCTTAAAGCACAATAAACTTACGAATACTTCCTGAAAGCGTCGGAATTCGGTGGTGCTGAACCTTTGCACTGGAGGGCAGAGATACTCGCAGTATCCACTGTGCTTCACTCTCTGCAACTGATGGACGCAGGATACGTATGACAATCGGGACTGCAACTCTGCCATGTCAGGGACCTGGGAGTAGATAAAGAGAGAGTAATACAGAGAGGACATCAGAAAGATGTTATTCAGTACAGTTTGGCATGTGATGCAGTACTTCCAAGCAAAGCACGGATGGGTAAATTCTTGTTATTAGATCAACCAATGGGAATTCATCCTTCATTGTTCTATGGTCAGTAAACACAATCCTGATTATTGCTTGTTACTAGACCTGTAACCCCGCAAAAAATTCTCTTAGTTTTGGATCGATTGGGATTTTTATTTATTTATTTATTTTGGATCCGAAATTCGATTTGATTCGTTATCCGGTTTTCGGATCCTTCCGGATTTTCGTTTCAGAACAATCTGAACTTTCATTTTGACTCGGCCTATTGGGCTGGGGTTCTTTAATTATAAATTAACTTAATTATATATTTTAATTAATTATTACAACTTTGTTTTTAATCTCAGGAAAAGGGTAAGAAAATGAATATCAAACCATATAATGATATAGTGATATAGTTAATATAGTGAAATTAAATATAAATACAATGAAATACATCAAGCATACTGTTGGGTGTTTCTACATTGATAATGGTTAATGAACTTTCAAAGAGGAGGATCGTGGTTGCATGGTTATATGGACTTTGGTTTCTTTGTTGTACTGGTCAAGAGCTTCATAGGTCTCATCGAGACTGAGGTGCAGTCAGTGAGAGGGAAGCCAGTTCCTGAATGGTAGTAATCTATTATATTATTTAAAAAAATTATTACTGATTGTCACGCTTGCTGTAGGTGCAACGGAGTGGATCGCAACTGCGGAGGGGAAGTAATAGGGTGGTGTGTGAAGACGGCTCCCAGGCGTCACTCCCAGTCTTAGCGGGGAGTTTGAGACTCTAGCATCACAGCCATAAGTAGCAAAAAGTATTGAGGCAGAGCTATTACTTCATAGCATAACGTCTCATGGTAACAACTAAAGACAAGGATGAACGTTTAACGTTTGTAAGGAGTGGTGTCCATGGTTACTCAGGTATGCAAGCAGGTATTCCCCAGAGCACAGATGACGGTGATGTAATGACACCCTATAGCTCATGCAATGAGGCAGAGCTGACAGTCAATATAATGCTCCAACTAGAGCTGTACTTGCGGTTTGGGTTATTGTGGAGCAGCTCTGTTGCAGATCCTCAGGATGAGGGCAAGGTGGTCCGTCACAGGCAGTGTTGGGGTAGATGCAGGCCTGGTTCAGGAGGCAGCAGGCGTTCCGACTCCAATTGTGGAACGCCATGCTGCCTCAGCTGGGGCTTCAAATAGCCCGAGGACGTGGGAGGAGCCTCCGGCCGGAACGAGCGGCTTCCACGTTCCACCGTGGAACGCAGGCCGCTCGCCTCACAATCAGGAAGTCAAGCGGCTTCCGCATTCCACCGTGGAACGCAGAGCGGCAGTCCCTGCAGATGGCGAGACCGGAGCAGTCTTGCCCCGACGGGACTCGTCACACTGATGTATCAATCCCAGTATCAGTATGATAGCCGTTACGGCGAAACCCCTTGGTGGTAATGTGGGCTCAACCGAGGTGCAGAGTCTAAGCAGAAGCCGGTTTTCACCAGAGTTCCTGATGGTAGATATGGGTTTAGCTGCATGCTGGTACCAGGTTACAGTCCTCGGGATCTCCCTAACAGGGGATGAGTCGGGGACCAGGGGGCTACGACATGTAGATGGTACACCAGGAAGAGTCTAGAGAATAGTCGGATCCAAGCAGAGATTGGCCACAGGAAAGGCAACAGGCAAGGCAGCGGGAATTGTCAGGTCCAGGTGAATGGTCAGGTTTAGGCAGAGGTCATAGGCAGGCAGCAGGCAAGAAAGTGGTCAGGATGATCCGGGTCAGCAACAAAACAGGATATTCGTAAGTAATATGGCTCTTTTGACAAAAGCAGGGTAGCTGCTAAGAAAAACCAGAATCAGACACTGGTGCCTATATACACAATGGATCAGGGGACACACCCAGCATTGTTTCAAGGACACCTAGAATTCCTGGCAGGTAATCTGTGAGCACCATTAGAGGTACTGGCAGAAATTCTGCTAGTGCCATTAGAAGTTCTGGCAGGGATTCTGAAAAACCTGGCAGGAATTCTGTGAACACTATTAGCAGTACCTGTAGACCTGGAGGTAAAAATACCCTTCTGGGCCACATACATCAGAACACAATTAGAAGATATACTGTATGTATTCCCTTGCATTAATATGCAAAGCTTTAACACTTTTTTAAGCCAAATACCTTAATTTTAGCTCCCCAGGGATTTAGGCGATTCCACAACAACCACCAGCCAGACAAGCTGTCCCCATAATTATGAGTATCCCATTCTTCCTGCAGCCCAACATCTACTGCGAGAACAGTGCGGGCCCCCAGAGATTGAGCCACATCCGCTGGGGTCAAAGAGAAAATAAAGAAAAGGATAACTTGAGATAAAGAATGGAGAAAAAAACACTGAAAGTGCTCAAGGGAGCAGAAACAACATTCAACGATGCAAGCACTATCCATAGCTGACCTGGGAGGTTATTAACATAGCATCCGTCCAACAGGAGGTGAGAGTCCTGAGGGTCACAGAGTGGGGGCAGATAAGGAGTGTATGAAGCGCTGGCTCGAACATAACGCCAGAGGGAACCTGCAGGAACGAGATTATCATAATGGAGCAAGGGATGCACAGATACCAGTTCAGATACCAGTACCGATACTTGGCATTTTCAGAGTTGCAGCGGTTGCAGCTGGGACCTGGCTCTGGCGCTCCACCACTGTCCTGAAATCATTAGTCGATATTGTTTTACAAAAACGGTCACATGACACCAAACAAAAATGTATCAGTACTTGTATCTGTGAGTACTTGGGCAAGTATCAGTACTTGTAATTGGAAAACTGGTATCGGTGCATAAAAACAAAATCATACATTAAAACAGAGATGTACAAATCCCAGGAGCTCCGTGTGCTCCTTACAAATGACAGCGGCCTCCTAACTTTTGAATTTTTCTCTAGTCTAGTCCTGGAGCTGGAAAAGTATCGGTACTTGTACCGAGTACGGTACTTGGTATCGGTGCATCCCTAATCCTCAGACATGCAAACTGGAGCCGATTTACTAAAACAAATTGGAACTCCAATCCATATGCATGGCTTTTTTTTAGACCATAAAGATTGAACGCTAAATCACGATTCCTGGCTATGGGCAACAGTCTTATTTTCCCTTTCATATTTTTTAGAAATCAGCATTATTGTGTTATCCACCCACGCAGGACTATCTCTCACCTTCTCTATGGACCCTCATGGAAGAGGAGCTGATATCTGTTGTGATACAGAAAAATGGTAGCCACAAATCCTACAAAAAAGAGCAGTGACATACACAATGATTACAAGAAACAAGTTGGAGAGGAGAGACTGGAGGGGCAGTTAGATTACCTGGATCTGTTGCTCTCCAAAGAGGTCAGTTAAAGTGGCGTTGAAGGCAGAACCTGATAACAGTGAGGTGGTGGGGTAAGTGAGGTCCATGATTGTATGTACCAAGGAGGACATCATCTAGTTGCATTGAAAAGAAAGCAAATGATGAAGGAAAATCAAGATAACCCCACCATATCTCTACTTAAAGGAGAACTATGAGGTTAAGGCTTTTCCCCATAGTTCTCACCCCAAGCTCAGTATATCGCGAGCTACAGCTCGCGGTATACTGAGACGCCACAGCTGAAGCGGATCCCGACAATTATGTCTGGATCCACCCAGACCCAGATCCGCCCTATCTAGAGGCAGAGCCAGCTGTACCCGCCCCCTCCCCTGTCTGTTCTGCCAGTCAGCGCTGGAGGATCGGCGCGGGGAGGGGGGAATCCAGCCCCTCCCCTGTCACGGCAGAGAGCTGTGACAGGGTCCAAGGGGGAGCGAACGCCCGTATGTGTTCGCTCACCTCCCGATCTACTGAGCCGACCTGTGACAGTCTCATTGTCACAGGTCGGCTAGAACTATGAGGTGAGTGAAAAGCACTCACCTCATAGTACTCCTTTAATAAAAGCTAAGAAGCATTCTACCATCACCCAGATATACCCAAACTGTTCCAACCCCATGATTCCAAAATTCCCAATTTTTATTAACCCTACCACTTCAAGTGTTTGAGAGCTGACACTGCCTCATTATCTTTTGAATAGGTGTGAAATGTGGTTACATGTGATACACACAGAAAATTCTAAATCAGACAAAGAACTTAAGGATTATGTAAATGACAAAAACTGGTGAACAATAAGCAGAACATATGAGAGAACCAAATAAGGATATACAAGCCAAACAAACCTACTTCTTGAAAGCAGGTCTTACCTTTGACCATGTACATGTTCGTTCTTTAGTTTGGTTACTGTTGCGTTCTTCTGCATACACTCCCCCAACTAGAGCTCCCATGGAGGTACCTCCCACCATGTCCACAGGAATTCCTGCCTCTTCCAAGGCCTTAATCACTCCTACATGTGCAAACCCTCTGCATGTAAAAGAAGGACATTATATGAATACAAAAATAAATGTCAAACTTCAGGAGGAGAGAAGAGCAAATCTTTAAACATTTCGAAGTCTGGGCAAATCTGGCATTATGCCTAAAAAAGCTCCCCAATGATAATCTCACTCACCTTGCTCCACCACCTCCTAATACCAAAGCAATAGTATTTCCTGTTAGAGCCCGAGCAAGCCTGGAAAAATCACTGTGCCGGTCAACCACTTTCTGATGGATTCTAAAGTAGAACTCAAGCTGATGCGGACACACAGGGAGAAGGAAAGGGAAAGGAAGGGGCAATGCAGAGACAACACAGCAAGACATGGTATGGGAGGCAAGATGAGATCACTGTGAGTTTTCAAACAGTAAAGTACCAACTAACATTTTTAAAAACTAAAGAAGCACAGCGTTACATTCAGACTCTCATTTTGTAGAATATGAGATGGACATGTGTCTTAGGCCATTGCTTTTGACTGAAGCTCCATATTTACACACTATTAGCTATCAGATATAAAGCAATCTTAAAAATGTTTAAACTTAGATAAGAACATTGTTAAAACAATGTACTAAGGCAGGGGTCAAAATTTCAAGTCCTGAGCTACTAGCCAGGCCTTAGGAGTTACTCGCCACCAGTTGCCCCACCTAACCCTTACCATGCCCCGGCCTTAACTCTGCCCCTAAACACACCCTCTTAAATAATCTTATAAATTACACTGTTAGATGTTTTATGCAAAATAAAGTTACAAAAATAAATATTAACAACTTTAACAATATTACCATAATGCTCCCTGCCCCCACATATAAAATACACTCTCCGCCCTGTTCCATGCACCCCCACATATAAAATATTACCCTCTCCCCCCGTTCCCTGCCCCCTCACACATAAAACAAGAAGCCCCCCTGTTCCCCACCCCCCACACATAAAATAAGAAGCCCCCCTGTCCCCTCCCACACACAAAATAAGAACCCCCCTG